CAGTGGTATGTCATATATTGGTTTCAACACCCTCGGTGGAGGCTTGAGTTTAATCACTGCTTACATGAAACAAAGCAAGAGGGGCTCCAATGCTCAAAGGGTACCCATCAATGTGGAAAGTGCAAATATGTGCTCCTCTAAAGTGTTATAACTCAGACCCTTTCTAGGCCTGATTAAGGAGTAATTCCAAACTATTCTTGAGACCAACAGACAAATGCATGTCAAGTTTTGTAAAGTATTTATAGGACTGTAAGAGGATCTCAATGACCATCTCAGGAATGCCTATACTTATAGAGACTCCTGCATCAACACCAGAACTTGAGGATCTTGGTGTGTCAAGGGACCTTGTAATAGGTCTGGACGTACTGGAATTTCACCTGGAGGTTCCAGATTAATCTTACTCATCATAGGAATTTAGAGTCAACGTGGCCTTCCACTGTCACCTTTTGAATTTCCTTTAGGAAAGTTGAAAACAGTTAAAATATGTGCATCAGACAAATTTGAGTCAGCGCATCCTGGCCTTGTGCATTCTGGTCTAAAATCTAGAAAAAATTGTTCTGGACTTGGTAGTTCTGAGAAATGGCCATCAGATCTATGTAGGGTATCAGTCAAATCTGAGTCAACCCTGAGGATACATTGCCATTCCACCTTGTCTACAGGTACTCAGGTAATCAGCCATTATATTCTGATCCCCTGGTTGTTCTGCTGTGCCCTGATCATCATGGGCTGTATTTCCCTCATCAATAAGTGGCTGTGAGACCCACCTTAATGATTGATATGGGTCTTATTGATATTTGAGCAAATTCAGACCCACTTGTTCTTCAGCAACCCTCTGAAGTAAAGAAGAGCCCTGAAAATTACTTGTAATTCCATAAAATGGAATAGTAATATTGTGCCTTCCCTGATCCACAGACCTTGTGTAACATGGTCCAAACACTGTGCAACCAATCCTTGAAAATTGTAATACAAGCTTATAATTGACCAATGAGGTTCTGTTTACTGGAAACCCAGAGATATATTCTCTCTTTTCAGCTACCAGGCAAGGTGAAACTTCACTGATGGTGACATCGTCAGTTGCTGGCTCCAATTCATCTTTCTCTTGTTGAACAAAGATAGGAAGGATCTGTGAGGAATCCTGGGATGCCATTGGGTCCATCTGACAAGTCTGATGGTGGAAGCCAGGAATCCTAGTAGTTGCATATACTTGAGAAAACTTCCACAATCTGTGGAACTGTTCCTGAGTTAGGGAAAAAGCAGAGCATAGAATTTTCCACCCAGAAATGTCAACCTCTGAGCTGGTGTGAAACTGCTTTTCTTGATATTCGTCAAGCAGCCAAACTTCAGGAGTTCTGAAAGAACGATATCCCTCTCTGCCTTCTGTAGGTCTAAGGCTATCAGAGGTAGATCATCCTGGAACCAGGTGGTGTTCTGGACTCTCAATAACACTATAAGTACATATAAGGTTCTCGGGACTACAGTGAGGCCAAATGGTAGGGCACTAAATTGGAAGTTCTCTTCTGAGATAATGCTGAAGATCTAGGGCTATTGGAATGTGATAGTAAGCATCCTTGAGATCTATAGAGATAAGGAAGTTTCCTTCCAAATTGCTTGAGATATAAATCTGATTGACTCCATCCCAAAGACTCTGAAATTCAGCCTTATGTTGTCCCTTCTTAGGTCCAGTATAATCTTCCATATTTTGTGCCTTTGCCTTTTCTTTTAGCACCAGAAGAGAGGAAAATATTGTCCCTGGAACCGCTCTTGTTATGGGACCAGAAATCACCTCTTTGTCCAGAAAGTTTCTTACATATTCCTTTAGTGCTATACCTTTTGATTAATCTGTCTGAATTTTCTTGTTGGTATAGAGACTCCTGTGTATGAAGAAAATAAACTCCAGTCTATCTCCATCTGGACTATGGATACCACCCAAGTCTCCAGAATGTGACGAGCCCAGGTATGTCTGATCAGAAAAAATAAGGCTCTTGGTACTGAAGGACAGACACAAGTTGATGGCTCTATTAGAACCTCGAAAGGCAGGTTTACCAACTGCCCTGAGTTGCCTCTGTAGTATTCTCTTCAGGGTCAGTAACTCCATGTATCTCAGAAATGCTGGTCACTGTAGGTCTGACCATGAGGAGCTGGGATTCTTGGATCTTCTGTCCTGAGTACAAACACCTTGTACCCCTCAACCGCCTTTTTAATGGAGTCATCATCCCAGAAACAGAACCATAATGCTTTCCTAGTTGCTATATATAAAGCCATTTGATCAAGAGAATATCCTAGTTACATCTAGGGAAGTTTATGTAAAGAAGTCAGTTGTAACCTGAAAACTTCAGACTGCATCTTCAATCTTGGCTCTTAATATCTCTCTCCATAGTAGCCTTTAGATCTTTAATCACACTTTTCCTGGTTCTAGAAACAGCAGTGAAAACTACAGCTGGATGACATCCTGCATTGGCAGGCATATAAAATTGGACAGGTCTGTGTCCACTTTTGATCCATAAGCTTGCGTAAAAAAGCAGAGTTGTCAAGCAGTAGCATCGTCCCACAGGCTACCCTGGAAATTGCTGCATCCACCTTAGGTTGTGTAGTCCAGGGGGTGGGAGTACCTTCCTCCACAGGGTAATGTTTGGCCTCTATTTCTTACCCCAAAGGCCTCTGAAATACCTTGGAACTTACTTTGTAAGCCATGCCTGCATGTCATGTGGCTGCAGAGGCAGGGCCGGTGCAAGGATTTTTGCGGCCCTAGGCAAAAGAAGGATTTGCCGCCCCCCCCCCTCCCCCACCGGGACATCGCAATGCCCCACCCATATGATCTGCCATATGAACTAGTGCCAGTGCTGCACACAGTGTTTACATTAAAAAGCCTGCAGGGACAAACTATAGACACCGGAACAACTTTATTAAGCTGCAGTGGTTCTGGGGACTATAGTGTCCATTTAATGTGAGGTAAATTAGAGATTAGTGTCACTAATAATATATTAGATTGCCTACTTACAATCAGATGAGGATGGTCATGGGCTCTGGCTGCAGTCTGGCTCCACTGGTCTCGTGTAGAACAGGATCTCTGGAGGCTGTTTGTAACTGTGGTCACAATGTTCTGGGAGAACGGGAAGCAGCTCAATTTTTTTGGGCCTCTAACATAGCTCAAGGTCTGGGCCCCAGGGCCTGACGGTGAGTATGTCCATAAAGCCCACCCATAAGTCCACCTACATGTTCCACCCATGAGTCCGCTCACAGAGAGTAGAGTGTGTAGGGGATGTGTTATGTGTTACTGTAGAGGATCTAATGTGTGTGCTTATGGAATGTAGTGTATAGGGATACCAGTTTGTGTAGATGATGCAGTGGGTTTGTGTGTAGTGGAAGCAGTGTGTTTTTGTGTAAGGGATAGAAAGCAGTGAGTGTTTGTGTATAAGGGATGTATTGTGTGTTTCTTGTTGTGTGTAAGGGATGCATTGTGTGAATCTGTGTTTGTATGCATAAGGGATGCAAAGTGTGTTTCTGTGTATGTAATGGATGCAAAGTGTGTTTCTATGTATGTAAGGGATGCAGTGTGTGTGTCTGTAAGGGGTGCGTTGAGTGTGTGTAAGAGATGCATTGTGTTTCTGTGTGTGTGTAAGAGAAGCAGTGTGTGTTTGCATGTGTGTGTAAGGGATGCATTGTATGTTTCTGTGTATATGTGCAAAAGATGCATTGTCTTTTTGTGCAAGGGTTGCATTGTGTGTTTCTCTGTGTGTAAGGGAAGCATGTTGTGTTTCTGTGTGTATAAGGATGCATTGTGTGTGTGTGTGTGCGCACGTGGTGTGAAAGAGCTCCCTGTCCTGCCCCCTGTCCTATAGAGCTCTCCCTTCCATTCCTTAGAGATCTCCCCTGCCCCTTAGTGGTCTCTCCTCTCCCCCACACCTCCCTTAGTGGTCTCCTTTTCTCCCTGACTTTCCATTAGTGGTCTCTCCTCTCCCCCTACCCTCCCCTAGTGGTCTCTCCACCGCCTCCTCCCTCCTTGAGTGGTCTCTCCCTCCCCTACGTTCTCATCTTATTCCCCCCTCCCCATGTTCTCCTCTTCTTCTTCCCCCGTCCCTGTAATCTCTTCTTCTCCCCCCCGTAATCTTCTCTCTTCTCCCCTCCTCCCTGTAATCTTCTTCTCCTCCCTCCTGTAATCTTCTTCTTCTCCCTCCCTCCACCTTCCACTCCCTCCCTCCCCTGTAATCTCTCCCTCCCCTGTAACCTCTCCACTCCCCCATCCTCCTGTACCTTTCTTCCTCCTTGTAACCTTTCTCCTACCTCCTCCTGTAATCTTTCTCCCCTGTAACCTTCCACTCTCCTCTCTGTAATCTTTCTCCTCCCTGTAATCTTTCTACCTCCTGTAACCTTTCTCTTACTCTCCCTCCTGGAAATCTTCCCAATTTCTCCTATAATCTTCTCTCCCTCTATAATCTTTTCTCCCCTATAACCTTTCTACTTCCCTCCTCTCCTGTACCTTCTCCCTTCTATAATCTTCTCTATAATTGCTCCTCCTCCCATCTTCCTCTCCTATACCTTCCTTCCTCCCTATACCTTTCTCCCCTACAATCTCTCTCTCTATACCTCCTCCCTCTCTCTATAATCTTCCTCCCCTATAATCTTCTCTCCCTATATAATCCTCTTTCCTCCAATCCTCCTATAATTTTCCTCCCTATAATCTTTCCCCTATAATCTTTCCCTCCCTCCCCTCTTCTCCCTCCCTCCTATAATCTTCTCCCCCCCCCCTAAGCTACGGTAGTCGTGACCCGGCGGGACTGACAGGAAGTGCACACTCAGTGTGCACTTCCTGTCAGTCCGGCCGTGTCGTGGACTGGAAAGGAGCTCGGCCACGCTACAGGGAAGTGGAGGTGAGGCAGTGCAGCAGCCGTCTGAGCGCTCTCTATAGAGCGCTCAGGCGGCTGTGGCATTTAAAGGGCCTAGTTCGCCTTATAGGAAGCGCCGGCCCTGTGCACAGGTATAGGTGATGCTGAAGCAGCTACCTTATGGAGACAGTCAGTGCATAACTGTTTTCCTTCCACTTCTTTCTCATCACAACCAGAACATGGTGTACATTCGGACAATACCCTGCAACTTCCTTTGTAAACTATGCCAACATGTCCTGTGGCTGAGCAGGTATAGGTGATGCTGACAGACAATGCATAATGGTTTTCCTTCAACTGCATTCCCATCAGAATCAGAACATGGTGTAGATTCAGACATCCTATAAATAATAAATAAATAAAAAATAAATATTACCTGTGGCAAAGTACCGTGTAAAAAAGGGCACTGTCAAATCTATTACCAAGAAACCAGTCAAACTGATTTAAAACTGGCTGAAAACAGCACTTACCCATGTCTGGAGACCCTGCAAATACTTTCCAAATAAGTTTGGGATGTTTACCATTGGATTTTACCACCATTTTAGGTACTTTCTGGCAATTTACCTTATCCAAGATGGCTGCCACAACTTGTATTCCCATAATGCAAGTCACTGGTATTTTGCCCTTTAAGGCACAAACTGCACATGTGTGGGCATCTTCTGAGTGCATTTGCCGTTTAGAGACCGGGGAGAGAGCTCGGTCTGCAGCATACATTGCCTCTGAACACGCAGGGAACCCGAAATAAATCCCCGGGACCGAGGGGAAGCATAAGACAAAGTAAAAGTGCCTGCAGGTGATTAAAAGGCAACAAGGTGCAAAAGTCAAAGTTTAAAGGCACCACTGTATAACGGCATCATAGTATAAAATGCATCACAGTCTAAGGCACTGCATATATCAAAAAGCAGGTAGCTACAATGCAAAAATAAAGAGAAAACTATAGGGCAATGTTGCCATATAGAAAGTGATATTAAGGTTTAAAAATGCACACTCTCAAACCCAAATTGATTGAAGGCGTATCAATACATTGAAGGGTATCCTCGTATAAGTATTGCAGCATATAGGAGAGAAAATGAAGTGACAGTGCAGAGTTCCTAAAACAATATAAACCTTTAATAAATATTTCACTTAAAAGATAAAAGCAATAAATGGGCACATCACAAAGCGGTAACTCGATGCAGGCAAACAGGAACTCCCTCAAAGATGATGTTGAGCTGATTGGGTCCTTTAAACAGCACAAAATGGTAAGGATAAAATTTACATAAAAAGAAACTCAAATAACACTAACACTTAAGCCCTACGCATTTCATTCAAAATCTGAACTTCTTCAGGGAAAAAGAAAATCACAATACATCTCATAGTGCTCGTCTAGACCATAAATGTCCATAGAGCATTTAAATACAAGCAGCAGTTCCCGCGGGTTGCCGTCAGCCTATCCGCACGGAGCTCCTGCAGGTGTGATGCATTCTGTCTTGATCTGTGTTCCAAGCCTCATTTTCACCTGAGGTTTTTCATCCGTCGATTATATGACGTCATCATTATGTTCAGCTTATGCGTTCCACATACGTGAATGTGTTCCAATTGCATTCCGGAAACAAAGCGTCCATAAAATATAGCGATACAAGGATAAATGTTAAAAGAAAAATAGAAGATTAGCTGCCAATTCTATTAAGTTAATATATGTACAATACAACACACTGATACGTTATACAAATGTATTAAAAATCCAATAATCAACCAGACAATTGAGAGAGAGAGAATGAGTGTCAGGATATGGAGAATACTGGAAAAATATGAAAAGGACATATTGAGAATATATATAAAAAAAAAAGTAATTAAAAAAAAAAATAATAATTTAGGGTAAAAAAAAATGAAAAGATAAAAATAATAAAAATAAAATAGAATAAACTACCAAAAACAGATATAAGAAAATACATAAAAAATTAATGTAAAAAATGGGAACGAATATGGATAGAATAAAAAATAAATAATTAATAAAAATAGTAAAAATAAAAATGAAAAATAACAAAAAATAAATAAAAATATGAATAATCTTTAATATTGGAAAAATGCAAAAAAAAGTAATCTAAAAAACATACCAGGTGAAAATCAACATTAAGATCTATAGGCTGCATAGTCTGCAGCCTATGGATCCAAAATCCTTCTCTCTGTCTCAGTTTGATCACCAGATCCCCACCTATGTGGTCTAAAGAGACTTGTTCTATGGCAATACAACTTAAATCATTCATGTTAAAATTGGGGCATTTCATGCAGTGGACAGGGACTGAATGGGTCTGAAGGTTTTTCTTAATGTTGTTTTTATGTTCCAAAAATCTGGTTTTAAATTTCCTACCCGTCCTTCCAACATACTGCATACCGCAACCACATGTTAGCAGGTAGACAACATGAGTGGATGAGCAGGTAATAAAATTCTTTATTTTTAATTGCTCATAGGTTTGGTTACTTTGGAACTTTTTAACCACATTATACCTGTGGTTGCAGCTTTTGCAGCCACCATAGGAGTAGAATCCCTCTTTTGAGTTTTTAGCCAATGGTTTTATAGAATGGAAAGTATAATGTGTATATATATATATATGTCCTTATAATGTTTATATTTACAGTACAGGTTCACTTTGACGTCCTGGAAACTTGGAAAAAGTCTAATGGGCAAGCTAGGAATGGTGCTGCATGGTGAAATCCTGAGAATTAGCAACATAGGATAAGGGCCTGTAACTAACAGAGTACAGCGACCAGGAAAGGTTGTATTTTTTTATTAATTGAAATACATAATAAGGGGCAGAGTTTTCAAAAGCTTAGTTTGCTACTGTTAGCATATTTAGTTTGATCTTGAAGGATATGAGAAATAAGGATTAACAAAGGGGTGATGCATGTAAGGAACAATGGCTTAGTGACTGCTTTTGTAGACAAAACTTGAGAAGTATGGACCTTGTAGAAACAAATTAGCAAGTGCATTACTGGTGTTTTGAGATTGAAAGGGTGAAACTATGAGAAATGCTGTTGTTTTTTAGGAAACAAATGCCAGGATTTCAAGATAGGCTAGATATGGGGAATAAAAGTAAATCCAAAGTCAGAGATTACAAAATAGTCAAAGTGGAACTTGTTGGATCATGTTAATGGGCGTACCATTGGCCTGCAGGGAGAATGGCAATGTAGGTTTTTTGTTTTTTTTTTACTAAGAAGCTCGGCTTTGTAAAGATTGAGCTTGAAGAGATGGGTAGACATGCAGTAGGAGACAGAAGAAAGGCAGTCGGTGAAGCACTCTAGGACAGCAGTAGAGAGTTCCGGGGAAGAGAGCTATATTTGGATAGATTCAGCATATAGATGGAACTGAAATCCAATAGAAAAAGTACAACAAATTCTGGAAGGGAACTCTGATGACAGATTGAAAAGGATATTAAGTTAAAATTGAGGAAATGGGTCTGGCAGATATAAATGAATTGATCAAGATGCTTTGAGGTAAAACAGAGAGCAGAATATAAAGTATTTAGATGGAGACTTTGGATGGAGAGATGAACTTTTTAGTATACGAGTTATATTTGTATGTTTTTTTTTTTTAAATAGGAATGGAGTAGAAACCAGAAGAAAGATGTGTGAGGGAGTGGAATCAACAGCAAAATGTGGTGTGGCAGGAGGATAGGAGACGTTAAACAACATTTCCTTCAGTATTACAGAATTTTGTGACCATAACTCACTTCATTTAAGGCAGGTGCAAGACAGGAAGAGATTCTTTTCCCAGTTCCCAACGAAGATGAAAGCAGAAATCCTCCTCCTCTCTGCCAATAATTTCAAATGAGGCTGTTTTGTTTATTTTTGAACCATCGAAACCATAGGTGGCAATGTTTCAACAGCTGTTAGTATCCTTCTCAAGGCTTGACATGTTGACAAATGTTGCCACCTGTGTTTTTTGATGATTCAATAAACACCTAATGTGAAATTATTGTTGGAGTGCCGAGGATTTCACCTTCTTATTCAGTGACTGGAGAGTTGACATATTCAGTAGAATCCTTAAGATCAATTCGATGTTCCTAAAATAAAACAAAACCCCACATAACAGTACAATAACAGTACAATGTAGCTCTGATGCAAATGTAAAAGCTACAAAAAAAAGAATGACTAGCAATGTACAATGCATATTTACATATACATATACTAAGAAAAGTTATATGGTGGAATCTTAGTGGCAGTTTATTTTTGTTTCATCTCTGTTCGAAAGATGCCTTCTTATTTAACATGCAATTTATATGCAGCAGATGTTGTTTCTGGAGTTGTCACAGTAATTTCAATGATTTAAATTTTGTTCTCTATATATAATGGTAAGCAACATCCCCGTGTAGCAGGTTCATTGCTATGCATGCCGCTATAAAGTTTATTTTAGCCTTTCTTAATGTGCTTGTGTAACTTTTGGTATCTAGACTATCTTCGACTGTAGTTGAGTAGTAACCCTCTTGTATACTTACTAATGGATCCTAGCTACTAGCCACTCTGATTTCTTGACACAGTGGGGCAGTGGATTTGTTAAAGTTTCCCCATCACTTTAACTGTCAGAGTTTTTCACCTGTTGTTGTTTTTGTTGTTGTTTTTGACACCCTAACCATAATGTTTGAAAAGATACATTTTTTTTCAGCAGTGCAATGCAAATTATGCAACAAAAAAGTTGTGGAAGCTTCTGAAATTGACATTTTTGTGAACATTGATTGTATTTACTGCAGTGTTCATTCCTGTCTCTGTATCTATTTTCTCTGTTTGTCTTTTTCTGTCTCTGTTTTATTCAGGAATATTTGGGTTATATGTGCATATTCAAAACCACATCCTGGTACTCGAATGCTTACCTTGCTTTTGTTTTCAGACATACTCAAGGATTCAGGGTTGCAAAATGAGACAATGGTGAAAAGCAATCTCAGCAATCTGTTCTAGGGTTCATTCTGTCTCTATAAGTGAACACATCAACTTGGATTGCTTTGGGTTTATAGCACATTGAAAACCATTATTTGCAAAGTAAAAGATATAGAAATATATGATTTTTTCCTCTTTAAGGCTAGTTTTTTACAATGTCAGTTTTTAATATACCTAGGACCTGTGTGTTGCTTTTTTTGTTATTGGTATTATTATTTATAGAGTGCAAAAAGTGCTACACAAGCAAAATGTATAGATTGAAGAAAGTACAGTACATGCTTCCCAACATTCCAAATGGACAAAAAAGGCCACTTTAGCTTTAGGGATGCAAATAGGGAGCAGCCAAGAGCAGGGCTCTTCATAGAAATTTTAAGTGATTTACTCATATGAAGTTATGCAACAAAAATATAATTTAGAACAAGAACAATGTATCTTATTTACACACAGTGATTTCTAAAGATATTTATGGTAGTTTAAAAACACATTACTGTGATTATTACTGCTGTGAAGCTCTGTTATACACTCGAAAAGAGGGACATTACAAATGAAAATAGGGGCAGTTGGATTTGAGCGCAAAGTAGAGACTGTCCCTTTCTAAATATGTATGCACATTCTGACAAACAAGTACGGCAGAGCTTAAAGGGACACTATAGTCAAAAGAACCACTACAGCTTAATGTAGTGGTTTTGGCATTTATAGCCCGTCCCTGCAGGCTCAGCAATGAAACATTGCTCTTTCAGAGAAGTGGCAGTGTTTAC